ACTAGAAAACTCTTCTACTGGTTATAAAGAATATTCTTACAAATAAGTATCCTGGACTTCCAATCACTTGAGAACTTGGGGAACAATCCCAAATAGAGTTTGTTGTTACTGTTGACACTGTCTTTCATTAAGAGGGATTTTGTTTTTTCACTTGAATGAGGTCCTGCTAATACTGGTTTTAACTACAGGATGGCCATTAAGAATTTTCGACTGATCTAATTGAGAAGGCCTACTTGGAGGAAAACAAAAATGATTTTAAAGAAGTAGGCTACTTTAATTAGAATTAATCACAATTATAGCACAGTTTTTGTTGCTCTTTTAGCAGGCACTTTTAATATGTCCAATAGTAAATTGTATCATTGATCTACTTTTTCAATTCCTTGTTTTGTTCCTATTAGGATATACATTCGAACCTCTATCATGGCTTCACTGCTTGATTGTACTTCTGCCTCTGGATTTCAGGCTTAGACATGGGACTTCTTTTGCCCAGTGGAATATTAATGCAATAAAACATGAAAAGGCTTAAATTACTGTTTTTATTATATATATATATATATATATATATATATATATATAACAATTTGTATATAATAATTATTTTTTGTTTGGGGGACATAATTCAGATAGCCACAACTTCCATATAAGGAGATGAGTGAACCTGAATGCAACTGTATGCTACCTGTAGTTGAATTTCAATTTCAGCAGAATCTAGCACAAATCAGCTAAATTTTAGCTATTTTACCTATGTACAAATAAAACAAACAAATCTACAGTCTTTTGCTACTGAGAATTTTTTGGTGTCGGGTAGCACAACATTATTTTACAAAACATCAACTGATAAACTGAGTGTAGGTATGTACCCTTCACTATTTTGTGAAAACCTACCCATTGACCACATTTTGTTCAAGTCTGCATTTCCTGAGCTTGGATCTGGGATATATATGTCCTCAAATATGATTGATGTATGAATATTGAGTGCATACATGACATTCAAAGGTGTCTGGGTTGAACATAGGAAGCATGTTTATTGTGGCAAATCAGGTAGAATTTAGAATCACTAGAATATTCCTTTACTTTTGAGAAAGATGATACATTTTTAGGCTAAAAACAGGAAATTATTCTGATCCAATCACAGGCAAAACCACAAGGTCTTGAACAAAACAAAACTTTCCAATCTAATGTTGAGTAAATCAGATGGCAGTATAAGGTTGAACTTCCTGTTTGTTTGGGAGTATTTTCTTTTTCTCATTACATGGATATCTCTTACATAAAAAGCAAACTGAATATTTTCCTTCTAACTGCAACTGCTTGAATTTCCTTACAAGTGAGTTACTTCTTGTTTACATACACTGTCCCCATTAATGATTAGTATACACTATCTGGTTTTTTAGAGTTATTGTGTTCTAAATAATTATGAGTACAATATCATTCATTAATATTTTCTAAGGTCAGTGTGGAATTGCAAATACTATGGATAGACTTAGAGACCTGGAAATTTAAAAGTTGAAATGTCTACTTAGTATTCTCTTCTCTGTGACAGTGTCATCTGAGGTCTAGGGTCTAAAAATAAGTGTGTGTGTGTGTGTGTGTGTGTGTGTGTGTGTGTGTGTAAGCTTCTGTTTGCTTAATTTTCTTCTGTACCATGTGGGATGCTGAATCAATCTGAGAACAACTGACATCCCTAGATAAAGATGATTAAGGCCAAAATTTAATCAATAAATACTTTTATCTCAGCAACACACGTCTTTCACCTTTAAAAAATTATTTGCATCAATATCTATTCTCATCTAGTCACAGAATAAATAAGACCAAGCTGTTTGGAGAGTCAGAAAAATAGAAGAAAAGTCGCAATTTTGAATGTCAAAAAGTGCCACTATCCAAGATTCAATTGTGGAAATTTCCTTGTTTATAGAATGCCACAAGACTGCATACCATGCTAATGTAATTGCTTACATTAATTCTGTATGCATATGTATTTGATGTTTTAGGAGAAAAAGTTCAAACTAAATCCAAGAACATGATTGACAAGATAACAAAATAAAGTGTCTGATGAAAGGTTCATTATATAATTGAAAATCGGAGCGCCTTCACACACAAAGAAATGAATCTTTAATGACAATTCTTTCACAATTGATTTATTTCTATCTCTGTATATTAATGACTAAAATGCATTTTGAGGTCAAAGATTTTGTTTATTTTAGGTCTGTTATATGTGAAAACTCTGGAGTAGTGATTGAAAATTCATGAAAAGACAGTTTTATAAATGCTTTTTATTTCACTTATTTGGTACAGGGTCTCGCTATGCACATCAGACTCTTAGATCCTCCTGTCTCAGCCTCCCCAGTACTAGGATTACAATTGTACACTACCATGCTTGGGGTTCTGGGGACTGCCACCTCATGTGGTACCGGATATCAAACTCGGGACCTTGCGCTTGCCAGGAAGGCACTTAAACCACTGAGCCATCTCCCCAGCCCTATAAATGCTATTTTAATTTTAACTAGCTAGAACAAAGAATGTCTTCCTTGAGCGTTTTAAGTAAAGTAAGTGTGCATAATGTCTAAGAAAGAAATGTTGGCTCCACTGTCTTCAAAGACCTGAATGAGACAACCCGAGCAGCTGAAACCAAATCTTAGCCTGGACCACACAGTCTTTGATAATCATCTCAGAGGGGGCTTTTGAATGGAATTGTAATATATTCAGGGGAAGCCTGGTGATTAGAAAGTGAAAACTTTCCTGTAAGAAATTATGCAATATGTGTACAAAGTTTTCTGCTATCTGAATCTCTCTCTCTCTCTCTCTCTCTCTCTCTCTCTCTCTCTCTCTCTCTCTCTCTCTCTGAATTAATAAGCTAGTCTTGGTGGACATTCTTAACATTTGACTGAACTTTATCTTTTGTATTGTTCTCCTGTAGCATAAATGACAATTTTTCAAAGGTCATCCAATTATTTTTAAAGGGAACAAGACTAAGTCAGCAAGTACATCATCTGTTCTTAGAAACACATCTTGGATAAAGGGGGCGCCAATTCCATGAGGCCACAGCAGCAGCTGCATCTGTAATCTTGGAGTCAAGAGGAAGGTGGATCCAAGTGAAAAGAGACCTTCTGCATCCAATAACTTCATATTTAATGCTAAATACTGAAGAGTCTTAGTGTGTGTGCATGTATGTCTCTTTATATATGTGTTTTACAGTAAGACTGCTAATTTTCTTATAGTGTGCCATGGACCCTTACAAGCTCATTTAAATGAATTAAGTACCACCTTCTTTAATACATATTTTAAAAATATAACTTTTTGTGGTTAGGATTATCAAACAAAATAAACATAACATAAATATTTATAGAATTGGTGATATTAAAATTTCAAGTCTTTTGTAAGTTATTTGTAGAAAACTTTCTGCTTCCTTTCTTCATGCCTTTCTTTCTTTTTCTTTATAAGGAAAACATTTGCTTTTCATGTGGCTGTCACATTAATTCCATGTTTGTTTCAGTTTGAAAGTCCACACTGAAAATCCCCCTTTCTCTTCTAGGCCAAATAACACCATCATCAACTTAGGAACAAAGAGATCACACCAAAGATCACTTGGATGCAAGCCGTAAACAGTTCTGAACTTTTAAAATGAAAGTATGCACTTTGCACTATAAGAGATACATGTTATTCACACCCATGAGCTTAATTTACTTGCCTTTTCATGCCTGCTTTATATAGGATTTGACAAATCTTTACAGTAAGAACCTTTCCTTCTTTTCTTAAACTGAGATGAGGGCTATGCTATATGCTGCACAATTACGGGCTTTCTGTGCCTAATACAGTTCTCAGAAAGAAGTCAGAGAAATGGGAATCTGAGCAAATACAGAAGAAAAAGTGGAATGTAAAAGGAGCTGGGAATAAAGCTACAACAATTTTGTGTGTGCAAAACTATGGATGTAGGCAGGGCTGGCCTCTATTTATATTCATTATCAAAAATTAGGAAAATCTTGTTATTCATTTTATTGACTAACAATAAATAGTGCTTACATGGGTGGTATGATAGCAGTCGTTATCACCAGCAATCCACTAATCATCAAGCATTATCATTGTGTACTTTAATTCTGTGCTCATTTGTAAACAACAGATAATTCTTTTTCATAAGTAGTGTCGAGGGTGTCAACCAATAACCATCAAATCTTACACAGACTCACATCAAATACTAGCAATATTGAAAACTTTACATTTTCACAATACTAAATCATACGATGGTGGTGATAGTTATTTTGAAACTGGTAGAGATAAGCTTATGATTATTAATAATTATCTGCATATGATTTAAGACCTCGTACTAAATTATAAATTCATTTTCATTAGTAGTGCTAATCAAGAACATGCAGCATAAATTGTTAAGAGATATCAGAAATGCCTGTAGAGTTAGAGAACAGTGTAGTGAGTACACACTGTCAATCTCCTAAGCCTCAATTTTGCAATACTCTGTGATTTCATCTACTGTTATCTTCTCCCTGACTGTATTAGCTAAATGCCAAAGAAGCTATGGATTACTGGTAAGTTAAATTTGTTATATAAACTTCAAAGCTAAAACAACACTCAAAGGAGGAAACAACAATGCTGTATATTCAAACGCCTCACATACCATGACTTATTACTAGATTTTCATTTGAGCAAATGACAGTGTCTCAGAGAAGAAGCCATGAGACCTGGCTTATGCCCACAGCAAATTCTGACTTTTCCATGTAGCATAATTCTATACTAGAACATTTTAATATAGAATTCCATCATATTTCTTTCTGTCTCCAGATGACATTCCGGCCTTTTCCTTGGCATTTTAAACTCCCTATAACAAGTTAGCATTTTCTCTGGCTGAGGGAAAGGTCCTTAGTTACCTAGTTGATTGTTTTTCTTTCTTTTAAAAATATGAGTGGTTTGAAACATTTCCGAGGGCCTGACTATCGTCCAAGTTCTCAGCTAGTACTCCATGCGCTGATGATGGGAAACAAGGGTACACTGACCATTCTGCTCCCGCTGCACGCCTGCAGCCAGGAGGTCTGGCTCTCCGAGGCTGATGTCGTTGAGCCTGGTCCCGAGACACTCCATGCAGAGGTGCTTGCACCACTCCTCCGCCTCCAGCTCTGAAAGGAGAATGTGAGTTATGGGCATGTTTGAAAATACCACCATGTAACCTAATAGGCTATATAGGCTATATAATTAATAAGCACTAATAAAAAATTTTAAAACATTGAGAACATGTGTCAGAGTCAATAAATCTCCAAGGGAAAGAGAAAGGTAACGCTTCTTGAACTATTTTTCCTAGTAATTAGCAAGAGTTAAACAAAAACTACACTCAGGAAGAGAAAATAAAATGCCCATTATTTCCCATTTTTGACTTAGCACTGATAAGTTGTTTTAAATTACCCCTGCACTTTATTTTACTACAGGAAATAATCAGTGAATATTTGTTTCCCTTTAAAAATATTTTAGATTAATTTAACTCTTGGGTTGTAAGTACTTAGAAAAACTTTAAATATAAAATAGGTTGGGCCAAATAGCTCAGTGGTTTAAAGTGCCTGAAAGCTGGTGCAGAAGCTGGGGGTTTGATCCCCAGGCCTGCCATGCTGGCCCCGCTCCCTGGGTGTGCTGAGAAGGCAATTGAGATTGGGCATGGTGGCATGAACCTGTAATCCCAGCTCTTCAGAGGCTGTAAACAGGTGAACTACTATGAGTCCATAGTGAGACCCTGAACACCCTGTAGACCCTTCCCTTAAAAAATGCAAAAATAAATAAATATAAAAATAAAATAAAAAATTTGTGATTATTTGAAAACATTAGACTAGATTAAGCAAGTGAGTGTGCCCCTAATTGGGATTTAGAATTGCATGGACTGAAGATCTGATCTCTAAGTCATTTTGATTTTAATGTATAATGGATCACCCTATAACACACTTCCTTTCTCAATATCAAAAGATGGACTGTTTTTTTTTTTTTTTTAAAGAAAGGGGTAGGTCCTTAAAAGAATCCATCCTCTTTGGAAAATTCCAAATCCAAAGACATGGATTCTAATTTTAATTCTAAAACATTGATTTGATAATTATTGTCTCAACTATAATTACCTCCCCACTTCTTTATATTTACAAGAACTTTTCTTTGCTTGGAACACTTGAGCATCTTATCATCCCTTAGAACTCTGCAGTGTTCGGGTCCCTAAACATCAGCGAAGCAGACTCTAAACAAACTCCCTGTGTATGGAGTCAGATGGTGCTTGGAATTATATTTGCATTCTATATCACATCATTGGTTATCATTATGATATTAGAACAAGGTCTTGTAGATATTTTACTATGCAACTGTAAAGGAGATCAGCATGAAGTTTAATATTTTGGGGTAAACTCTAGTGTCACTTTACAGAAGTTGTATCAGAACTTCTGCATTGACCCTTGCCCACAGAAACCTTTGACTTTTCCATGTAGCATAATTCTATACCAGAACATTTTAATATAGAGTTCCATCATCTTTCTTTCTGTCTCCAGATGACATTCCGGCCTTTCCCTTGGCATTTTAAACTCCCTATAAAAAGTTATCTATGACAGGTTTCGTGACTACAGGAATTTGAATATTAAGTGTTCTCCTACATGGTCAACACGAACAAACCTGGGCTATGCTTCCTTTCTGAGTTTCATCATAAGGTCTTAGTATCAAAAGTAAGTTTGATCACTGCAATGTTAAAATAAACATTATTTACTTTTAGACCTTTCAAGACTGTAAGATCCTATTATACTGTTATAAAGCAGAAAGAATGCATCATTCCCCCATAAGGGGGATTTCAACAAAAACAATAGTCCCAACATTCCACTCTGAAGAAAAAATTTTCATTACTTAAGCTACTGTCTGCCTATTTCTGGGAATGTCCTCTCAGTGATGTGAGTAACATTATTTTAAGTCAAGAATCAGAGAGATTATTACAAAAGCCTGACTCATTCAAGTGAAGTCAGAGGCCAGGAACTGACTCCTTGGGCATTTCCCAGGACCCAAGAAATACTCTTTTGTAAATACAAGGCATTAATATAATAACTCTGTGCTTGCTGAGGTCTATGGCTTTCTCTAAGGTGAAAGATCTTTTTTCTTGTACAGAGGGAATCCCACACTTCATTAAAAATATTTCAGAAGCAAATAGCAGCATATATTTAAAATATTTTCATTGGATAAAGACATTTTAATTTATAAAATTCATAAAAGTTTGAAAGCTTATCTAACAGCAAAGCAAAATCTTACAGATTAAGCTTATTTATATGTTCTATACTGTATTTAGAAATTTAAATTTACTGCTGAAGGAGATAATATGATTATATCTTCCTTTTAATTCTTATCAATTTGAATTTTTGAGGACTTTACTGTTTAAAATCACAATTGATTAGTATCTCATTAGCATTATTCTACCTAACAGTATTTTAAGTTTGCCATAGAAAGAGATGAGAATGCTATTTGGGATAAAAATAAAAATGTGAAGTATGCCAAGCACCTCGGCACCAGTGTGGCCTGCAAAGAGCAAATCAGTGTGTGTCTGGAGGTTGTAGAAATACATCCTCCATTCCCTCTTTCTGCACATTCTTACATCCTAGTATTTATTGAGACGAAGAAAGAGTCTTAGAGTAAGGGGCTTCTGTGAAACTGGTGCTAACTTTCAAGTAGACCTAAAGCTAAATGCTAAATTTCTGTAAGGACAGAAAACCAGCAGGCTTCCTACCAGTACAACATGAGGTATCACGGACTTGACCTGACAGAGAGATGTTTCCTGTAGTTACCTTGGGAACTGCAGTGTGCTAACATCTTAGGAGTGCAGTAACTCAGAAATGGCCAGAATAATGAAAAACAGAACACACCATCGCCATAAAGACTGACCTATAAACTATTTCAGGAAGAGAGAGAAAAAGAACAAGAGAGATATCTTTGCAACTCAGAATTGATCAAGGATTTGCTCCTTTTAAAAATAGAGTCATCATCAACATCTGCTAAGTACTGTGCTAGGTGGCTGTCTAAAAAACACACAATTCCTGCTCTCAATAACCTCAGAATGAAAGGAGTGGATGGATGAGTTTGGTCTGCGATGATCCAAAGGCTGCTAGCTGGGCCAGGAAAGAACTGAGCATGAATGAAAAGGGCTCTGTCAGGTGGAAGATGATCAGAGCAAGGACCTACAGAGCAGGCAGGCTAGTGAGGAAGTATGTTCGTGAGGGGTGTGTGAATGAGTGAGCGGGCCGGTGTGCATGTGTGCGGGTGTGCAGGGGAGTGCACCTGAGTGTGTGTGTCCATGAGTTTGTGAGTTTGCATCTACGTGGCAATGTGTAGGACAAGCAGGGAGGCCAGAGACAGGGTAGAGAAAAGCATCTGCAGGGCAGGGAGAGGGACATTTGTTTCTAATAGCCAGTGCAAGCTCTGAGTTCACACAGTAAACTTTGAAAAACAGCACTCAAGTCATTTTTTTTTTCATGGTTTGCTAGTATTTGATTCAATCAGAGGTTCCCTGAACTTGCATCTCAGAAGTGTGAACCTTGGTAGTCCACATATTTGAGGCAGAGAAGATGAGTCTTTCGAGTTATTTATTATACATGGCTTTGGTTTCCTTAATCTCTTTTTAATAATCATCTTTCAAAGAATTACAGCTATGCATTTCATTTTTTCTTCCTTAGGCAACTGCTAGGTATTGAAGTCTTCTTAACCTTTATTCAGTGTTAATGTGTTTTGCCCTATCATTACCTAGCTAGTCCTTGTCTCAGAATTATCCTCCTCCTCCTCCTCCT